TCACATGTGTGGTACTACCGGAGAAGTATACATTAGTGTTTTAAACCGGATTTGTTAGGCGGATTTATCACCTGCAGGACCTATCCGGGCCGGATAAGGCCAGTTTTTGGATCTTATCCGGCCGCTTAAGACCAATTTTTTGACATAGAAACTAATCACAAAATCTTTAATATTAATTTTAAGTTTTTTTAAATAAAAAACTAGTAAGAACAAGCATTTTTGTTGATATAGTTGAGTACCTATGAAATGGACATGCTTTGAGTTTCTTCGATCACCACTTATTTCCAATCCAGATCAACAAATCCTTGTCCGGATAGCATTTTTATAAAAACTCGAACATAATGTGGCTACTTTAAAAAATTGCTTAAATTGTCTTTGTTCATGGTTAGATCATTTATCAAGTGACATATTTTGGTAATTTGACCCACCCAATAACATAATTTGCTCTTAGTAATTTGGTAACATTTTTCAAATATTCTTTATGAAGTACGTGACTGATATGAACAAGAAAAAAAATCATCAAGTGTTTTTTAAAGGATTATCTATAAATAGACCATTTATTTCTTTGTACAAGCATATCACGTTCACTCTTGTCCTTTAAATTTCAAGTAAGAGTATCATTGAATAAAAACACAAAGTGTAAAAAAAAAATTGAACTTCATGAGTTGCCCTAAACCATTCAATTTGACATCTAGCGAGTGGGAATAGTTGTGACCTTCTTGTAATAAAAATAAGGGTGCATTTGGCATTCGGATACATCCTAGTTATAGAGGTAAGGTGCACCTTTAAAATTTATCATGATATATAATTTGGATGTAAAATGTTATTGGGATTGTCTCAAAATCTATTTCTATATCTAATTATAAAATTTAAAATTTAAAAAATGGTTAAAATCAAGTTGATCTATAAACATATGAAAATCTTGAAAATGTGGATGGTGTAAATATATGTTGTAAAATGCACTATTTATGAGACTTAAAATCTTTTAATTTTCATGGTCATACATCTTGATGTCGAGATGATCAATCAAAGGGTTTTTCAACATTAAAACTACTTTTTCCAATGGATTTTTGAGGTGCATCTGTAGTTATACATTATAAGGTTGCATCCTTATTTAACCTTTTTCCTAAAAATAAATGGTCTCTTGATAGACAATCTATTTTTTCAAAGGGCAAAGTTTATATGAGGTGCCTTCCTTATATTGTAGAATTAAGGCACACTTGTAAAATTTGTATGGAGATGTAATTTTGATGTCTGAAATTTTATGACTGCTTGAAAATCTATTTTTATTTTTAGTTACAAATTTTTAAATTTTATAAAAGAAAATATTTATATAAGATTGCAACCTTGAAATGTAGAATTACAGATGCACCTGAAAAAAAGAGGAAAAAGGTCGTTTAATGTTGAAAGACCCTCTAATTGATCATCTCGACATCGAGATATCTGAATATGAAAAAAAAAAATTGAGTCCCATAAATAGGGCTTCTTGCAACACATTATCTAGACCATCAATTTTAAAGATTTTCATATATTTATAGATCCACGTGTTTTAACCATTTTTGGAGTTTAAAATTTTATAATTAGATATAAAAGTAGACTTTCAAATAGTAATAATAAATTTTACACCAAAATTACATTTTATAATAAATTTTGGAGGTGCACCTTAATTTAATTGTTTGAGGTTGCAACCTTATAGAAACCACACCATTTTTAAAAAATAGTATGGACTAAGGCTATAAACATTTGAAGATCTTAAAAATAAACTCTCCAAGACCAATTGTTACACATGCATTATTTTTAGGATTTAAAATTCATATCCACACATCTTGAGGTCTGATGATTGATTAGAGGTTTTATACAGCCAAAACACTTTTTTTTAGAGGAGTGTTTAGGCGTACCTTACTTGAATAGTATAAGCTTGCAATCTTACATAAATTATTTCCTTTTTTAAATGTTACCACATGTAAATATTTTTGTAGGATAATAATCCCTTAAATAATAGTTTCTCTGAAAAAAGAGAGTCATAACCACCCAGATGAATAAAAAATTGGTTCGCTATAGATGTGCCCTTGAGTTACTGACCCCAGGTATTTAACTTTGGATACGGTTTCTATAAGGTTGCAATTTTAAACAATCCAATAAGGGATTTTGTTTGTAATATATATATTTTTTAATGTTTTTCATTTTTTTGACAAAAATGAAAATTGTTTTGATCATTAATATTTATTTATATATATATTTTTTATCTTTATTTAGATATGCGTTATTTAATTATTTTTTAAATATATTTTTTACATTTTATTAAATTTATTTTTTGAACATTAAACTCCCGAGACTTACCCGATCCGATTTTACCAACTCACGCTTGAACCTTTGTATATACAATCTATAAAATCAACCGAAATCGACCAAAATTTCGCCCTTGCAATGAATTCTCGAGGGGCATTTCGAAATTTGTGAACTAATTTGGGCATCTCCAGTTTCTCTCTCACCATATAAATAGCAGAGAACACGGATCCGAACTCTAAGACGCATCGAGTTCAGGATTAATGGAGCTCGTTTTTTTCGTTGCTTCACTGCTCCTCAGTACAGTTTCGGGTGGCACTACCGGTAAGAAAAATTACCATAATGCCCTCGGTTCCCTTCCTTCTCTCGTTCTTACCCCTCCGTTCTCTCTGAATCTAGTTTATTAAGCTCATTTTCCCTTGCTTTCTGTATTTTTTGTTCAAATATTCTCTGAAACTCGCTCCTTTTAAGTACATTTTCTGCTTCAAAATCATTATCTTTCCATTTATTTATTTGTTATTTGTTGTAAGTTGGAACAAATCTTCAAGGTTTGACTCAATGTAGATCGCTTCATGGTAGTTTATTGGATTTAATTTGGTTCTTAATCATATTTTCTGCTTCATATCGAGCAGATCTCATGAAAGTCCACTTTTCAGACCACTTTTCAGACTGTTAACTTTTTTTCTCTTGAAGTTTTTTAGCACAGGTATTTTAAGTTTGACTCAATGTAGATCGCTAAGAATAGTTCAAATGAAGTGGATTTGAGTTTGAATCATATTCATCACATTATTTTGTAATCAATGCGTAATACACTTTACATTTTGGTATCACTTTTGACTTGGAGTCTTTATAATCTCAGATCTACATTTCCTCCCGTTCAAATGTACACAATATGATTTACATGATATGATACGAAACAATAGATCCATGGTACAAATGTATGCAGATCCAATTTCCAAAGAGCAAAGAGCTGATGCTTGTGAGAATAATGTCATTTGTTCGGTATGACATAGATTCAGCTTTATGTGTGTATTTGTTTGATTATGTATTTATGCTCATGGACTGTAAATGAGGCTAGTTAAGTTGTTCGATTCATTTTACTGATATGGATCTTAGAAGTCGCTTTACCTCTTAAAAAATCTAATAAATTACAGGATAGTAAAAATCGAAAAAAATATAAATCAATGGAATAGTAATTCCAATACTTACTCAATTCCAACTTATTCCTGTTCTCATAGAGCCCAACCTTTGTTTTTTTCCTTCTTTTTGTTTTTTAGAGAAATAGGATAACCATATTAAGCATAAAAATTAGTCATAAAAGCCGCTAGAAGTAATAGCAGGCAACCCACAGGATGGGTGCTCAGACTGTACAAGCAAAAAAGAGGGAGAAGTAAAGAAGTGGGTATAGGCAACCCCCAGATGCTCTGACCATACAAACATAGGAGCTGAGGTTTCCATCCCATGGTTCACCTGCCACTGCTTAGGAACTTTATTTTTTGAGCCCTACTGCAATTCTTCTGCATTTATGATGTCTTAAAATCTTGTATTTGAATTGCACACTACAAACGTGAAACCAAAGAAAAGATTGAAACATCTGAAGGTCAACTTCTTAAGAGCAGATCCCTTTGAGTGTATAGAGCCTAGCTTCATGAGCTATGTCTCAATCAATCTTGAATGAAGTCTTAACAATGAAAACGGAACTAAAAGGTGGTGGTAAATTATAAAGCAGGGAGGGCATGAAAGGAGGAGGACATGAAAGGAGGAGGACAGGGAAAAGCATATGATCCCACATTCCATGGTGCATATCTCGCAAATGGTAAGAAGTTTAGTACATGAATTTTAAGCTTATCGTGCATTGTGTATTAGATGACCAGAATGAGAAGGGAGAGGCAAATTTTAGACTGCCCCAAAACTGAGATGGTCTCAAGTAAATGTGATCTAATTGATTTGATGAGTGTTGGGGTTTTTCTGGCCATTCCTGCATAGCTATATACTGCAATCCTAGATGAGGAATGTCATGCTTCATAATATGCTAAAAACAATAGTTGATATTGCATGGACATGGACAGAAATTTCAGTGTCAACAAATGCAAATGGATTCACAGAAATCCCCAGGCACACATGACAACATTCAGTGTTCAACCGAGGCCCTTCCAAACAGTTAGCATGTGATGGTGGTTATTCGAGATTAATGTTTGAGAACACCTCCTAAAGCTAGAACAAAATGCAACTCTTGGGTTTGGATTTCTTGAGAGGAATATTTTGCTTCACCCATTGTTTCTTACTTGCCTTCCCTACTTGCAAGCTCATTTAGCTGAATCCCTTGGTCAAAGGCCGCTAAAATTCATGTAAACAGTGACATCTCTATTGTCACTTTAGAAGTTTGGGTTATTGGAGGACATAACTTCCATCTGATGCTTTTTGTGCAGTACTATCTGAGCTCACCATGCACATAATTGTCAATCACGCCCAAAACATTCAAGATTCTTATAAGAAGCACATGAAAATAAGCCTAAGCAGGGGAGTGTGCCTTGCTTGGTCTGTCCTCGTGAGTGGTAGGATATTTGATCTCCTCAATAACCAGGACCTCAGGATTCTAGTTTGGCAAGTTAAAAGTGAAAAATGTCCCATATTTTCCATTGTTGGAAAGGAAGAGGGGTCCATGTTGATTTGACTGAGGGATCAAGGGAAGGAATACTGGAAACAGGGCACTATGAGGATTTGTTTGAAAATACAGTTAGCTGGATGTTAAATGGATGCACGGATTGTAGCTGGTGATAACATGACCAATCGTGGTACGGGCAGTTTTAATTTTATGTGGGATTAATCTTATTTAGTTTGTATTTGTTAACAATTTCCTGATTTTCCTCTTAAGACTCTTTTGTCATTGAAGATGGCCTTCACTAGATTCTATGGATGGGTTAGGGTCTGCCCAACTTGTTATGATAGATTACACTATTTCAGGTTACAAAATGAGGAGGGGATAAGTGTGCTATGGTCAAGATTGCACATTGAATAGGTAAGGAATAAGAAGCATTTATAAACATGTTCTTTGCGTCTTAATTGAATAGGTTACCTTTATTTTGTTTTAATTTGGAGATTCTTTGTGAGTCTTGATTGATTGCAGTTTTTTATTTTTGCCTACTGAGTTTGTTCAAAGACATAGTTTGGTGGTCAATTTTGAGAGTAGTACCACTCCAACTTGTTCAACCTCTGCTTTTTCTTTTTCCGGGAATCAGTGTTTAAACTTTAATAGAATGTTTGATTTTTTTATTTTTATAACATAAATGTATGTTTCTGACCCCAATTAATTGAGAAAAGGCTATGATGATGATAAAATATACATTTCGGACCATTAAAATAGGACCTATGCAACCCCTCCATAACGTACATCATCGATTTATTGTTTCGTGGGCTCATGAATCCAATATGTAGATCCTTCTTGATGACCATAAGAGAGTAAGATAAATTAGGAATATGGGATGCCTATTGGATTGTTTGTTTCCTCTTTTCCCAATCCCATTATTCGCTCCTCTTTTGGCATTTTGAGACTTTGGCATCTCTAGGTTACATGGCTTAACCATAATAAGATTTTTTGGAAAAGGTTTACTCTTCTGAATCCACACCACACACATGCGTGCACACACACATTGACATTGACAGAGAAAGAGTTCTATTCATGCACTCTCAATTGTTTCGCCATTGCAGGCAACCCTGCTGATGAGCTAGTTGCAGCACTCAATGCAAACCGCACAGCCCTCAAGCTCGCCTCTCTCCATGACAACCCAGGCCTCGGGTGCATGGCCCTCCAATACATCAAGGCCTACCAGGGCCGGTGCGATGAGGCCAATGATAAGAAGCCAGCTGATGCCGATTTCGCCCAAACTTTCGCCCCAAATTGCGGGGTTGAGCCATCATCCCTTGCCCAAGTTACTGGTCGCCTCCTCGGTTGCCAGTCAAGTTACGTCCATGCCACTGAGGCCTTCTCAAATCTCCTAATCCATAACAACAAGAGCTTGGCTATACTATACAATAAGAATCACACTGAGGTGGGAGCTGGGGTCAGTGGAACTGATGGTGGGGCGCCTTATTTTTGGTGTGTTTTGTTTAGCAATGGGGCTTCCAGCAGTAGCTTTGTGCTACCTGGTGGAGTTGCTTCGAAGCAGCGGCCTGGGTGTTACAGTGGCACCAACGAGACATGTAGTGGGGCGATGGGTGGAAGATTGGGTGGTGGGGTTGGCATTCTTGGCCTTCTCCTAATGGTGGGCTTCGGCTTTGCCTTGTGAGCGTGGTGTTTCCTCTCTCCCTTTCTGAAGTTTGTAGCTTCTTCTGTCTCTCATCATGTGTCTTTCACTCTCTCTCTCTGAAGTCAAAACTTTTGCCTTTGTTTCTCATCTTGGCATTCTGTCTCTCTCTCTTTGAGTTAGAAGCTTCTACTTTTGTCTCCATCTTGCAAGTCTCTCTCTCTCTAGTATGAAACTTCTGATTCTGTTTTTCATTTTGGAAGTCTCTTTCTCTCTCTCAGTTTGAAGCTTCTACGTCTGTCTCTCATCTTGCAAGTCTCTTTCTCTCTCTCTAGTATGAAACTTCTACTTTTGTTTCTCATTTGGAAGTCTCACTCTCAAAAGTTTGAACCTTCTACCTCTCTGTCTCTCTGAAATCTGAACCTTCCTACTTGGAAGTCTCTCTGAAAATCTGAAGCTTCTTTCTCTCCCTCTGCTTCCTCTGTTTATTTTCCATCTTGGAACTTTATCCCTTGCTATGCCTAGGTGACCCTCTCCATTTCTCTCTCTCTCTC